TACAGATGTTTCTTGAGTTGGAGCCACATGCGAGTAGTCAGCCTAGTTGCAAAAAATTTGGGTTTGCATCACATGTAAGCAGTAATAGATAAATGAGCAACTACTGTAGCTGGCAGACTGTTGGATTGTCCTCTGTGAGACCCTCCAGTTTGGAGGGATGACACACTTGTAAGAACGTGTGTCTCGCTTGCTGGCCAGTAGTGGAATGCTGAAATTGAAAAGTTTTAAGGTTTTTCTTTTTTTTGTTTGTGTTTTGGTTTGGTTGGGTTTTGGGTTGTGGTTTTTTGGGGCAGGGCCCGGCGGGGGGGTGTGTGTGTGTGTGTGTGTGTTTTCTTGGTATGGTTATAGTTGTCTGTCTTTTCTGTGTTCAGTTTAGGCTGTTTTCTTCCATGCTGTTTGTGTCAGCCCTGACATTATAGGAGGGCAGTCTCTGTATTGCTACAGTGCTTAGAGTAAGTAATGACTTATTCTAAAGGTTAAGACTGCACAGCCCACAAGCAGGTTAGTCCACAGAGGTCTTCTGGCATACAGCATGCTTTTTATACAAGGGAAGTGTTCAGAAGCTTTAGCTAAGTCTGACAAATCTTTAATAGATATGTGTGAAGAATAATTTTTCTTAGCAAATTTGGAGAGGTTTATGCAAGGATTATCAATATGTACCTATTTTAAACAGCCATTTAAATGTATACTAGAAAAAAAAAATTGAAATGAGGTGTCAGTTGTGTTCTCCATCAGAAGAACCTTTACCAGTAAAATAAGCCAACAAGGCATTCCTTAAGTCAGTGTATGATCCTGTTTTTTTACAAATTGTCGACAGGAAGGTATTTTAGAATCAAGCCTCAGAGTATGTAGTAATAGTTTTCAGAAAGTGTGCTTAAGGTATTTTATTAAAATCTTACAGAAATATACAAATGATTGTTGAAGCAATTTTTGTATCACATTTAGATAAGCATTAGTGTGATGTTTTATAGAAACATCTTTATTTTTTAAATAAGCACGCTGTCCTAAGTACTAGTAAAGTGCTTGCAAACCTGTTTTTGTTTCTCTGTATTACACATATTTTAAACATGTATATATATTTATGTATATATTTCACTGTACTGTTTGCTTTCCAAAAATGATAAAAGAGGCTTATGGCATTTTAAATAGGAGTGATGTGAAAGTATTTTACCTTTGTGTTGAAGAAATGGAGCAAACAAACACCAAAAATGTGAGATTACATTCTGATTGAAGTACCAAACTTGATTATACAGCTGAGATTATTTCATGGTTTTCCCATGTTCAGCTCTGATCCTATTTCTCAGTGTAACTCAAGAGAATTCTATGTATGAGCTTCTTTATGCTACTGAAAGGAATTTAGGGTTGGAAGGCTTACAGCAGAAAGCTGCGGTTCAGTGGACTGTAGTAAGAATCATTTCACTGAAGTGTTCTGTTTATCTGAAGAGATAAGTTAAGGCTGGAGTTTCATATTCAGATTGGATTGCTTCAGGAACCATCTTTTTTCTGTGGGACAAGGTGTTTGCTGTTGCCTGGGTGACAAGGTGCCTATAATTCATCTCTAGCAATTGGGTTAGCCGTTTATATACTTTATTTCTCATTTGGTCAGGTGAGTAATATTTTTGTCAAGATGGCATTTAAGTTTCTATTTTAGTTTCCAGGGGAAGAGTATTTTCTAAATCCTCCTTTCTTACTGTGACATTCGCTCTTATAACAGTCAGTCTCCAATAGCCTTTTGAAATCAAGGTGGTGATCAAAAACTTCTCTTCTGAAAATTTGCCTTCTGTGTGTTAGTCTTATTATTCATGTCAGGCAAGAAACAACTCAGAAGAAAAAAAGGAGGCAAAGGATGGGGTTTTTTTGTTTTTCCCTCGCAGCAACAGATTTAGTTGGTGGGCTATAAAGTTAACCACCCTAAGTCTTCTAAAGCTGTCAGAACATTACTGGAGTTTGGATTGTCTTTTGCTGTTTGTCTCTGTTTCTAGCTATGACATCTTTATGGTTTACTTCAAATTTCAGGGTTATCTTGGACTGATCAGAATTTTGTCCACCTAAATTTTTAATATCTCCAAGCATGAAGGTTCCACAGCCCCACTGGGCAACCTGTTCCACTGTTCAGCTGCCCTCACTGTGTGATTCGTTTATTTTAAAAAAATTCTCCCCCTATCCTTTACATGCTGATAACTTTCTTGGTGTGGCTTGTGAATGTTGCATCTCATCCTTTTGTTGTACACTACCCAGAGTCTGGATCTGTCTTCTCTATAACAATGCATTAGGTAGCATAAGACAGCAAGTAGATCCTTCCTTAACCTTCCTTCTCTATGCTGAACAAATTTTGCTTCCTGATATTCCTCTTGTATGTAATAGTCCGATCTCCTAACTGTTTTGGTGGGGCCCCTGCTGGTTTCTCTCCAGTTTGTCATCTGTCTTGAGGGACTCAAAATTGGACGCAGCACTCCAGCTGTAGCCTCCTAAGTGCCAGATAAAGGAGAATAATCACTTCCCTTCATCTGGTTGCTATGCTCTGGCTAATTCAGCCCGGCAGCCTCTTAGCTTTCAATGCTGCAAGCGACATAGTGTTGAATCGTGTTCTGTTTGTTGTCCACCAGGAGTTACAGGTTCTGTCCCAAAGCTGCTTGACAGCCACTTGGCCTTCAACCTGCACTGTTGCCTGAAATTATTTCATTCTAGGTGCAAGCTTTGCATTTATCTTTGTAATAGGTAAATACAATCCTTACTGATTTGGCTACACTAACGAATGTGAGCCCTTTGTTTCCCATCCTGTCAGATCCAGTTTCTGTTTAGATTTTATAATGTCCGAGGTCTTGCTGGAATGCATGAGTGAACTTCTTTTCTCTTTTAAGTGCAAAAATTTTGGTGTTTCAAGATACTTTTTTTCCTCAGATGTTAGCTGGAATCCCTTTACAAGGCATTACCTCACAAAATTCCTTGTAGCCCGCAGTCAATATTACAAAGATCAGGAAATGAATTGATCTCCAACTTTTTTCCAGTAAGTTTGCCAGGAGGCAACACTTTTTTTCTTTTTCATAAGGATTGATTTTTAGTTTATAAATCGGGCATTCAAAATTCATAGGCTTCACAAACCAAAACATGGAACCAGATAATGACTTCATGTACAAATGCGTGTTTGGTAATAGTCTTTTAAAAGATAAAATTAGTGGACTTGAAAAATTGATCTTTACAGCTTCTGACCTAAGAAAAATACTAACAGTGTGGATAGAGTAGATTTGATGGCTTATGCTATGTACTTCTCAAAGATTGACAACAGAGTAGTAACTGTAGAAAAAATGCAGTAAGAGTAGAAAAAATGCCCTACATGCACTTCTGTTAACGAAAATCTTCATCCTTTGTGTTAAAAAAACCCCAGACAATTGTTTCCTACACCTTCAGACATTTCTGATATGGCTATAACTTCTGTTCATATATATCCATATAGGCATATTGTAGCCATGTATAACTATATGATGCCCCATGATCAAGGTGGAACAAAGCAAATTCCCTTTGAGATCTAAAGGAGATTGACTCTGTTAGTTTTGAACCTGCATTTTAAAAAAATCTGACTGTTGCATAGCTGAACAAGGATAATAAGCTTGTGGATAGCTTTTAAGTCTCTGTTAAAAGTTCCAGATAATATAAGGATGTAATCCTAAAGCTTCAATAATAAGGGCCTTATTTCTTACTCTGAAGCCTTAGTCGTGAGTATTCAAAGTTGCCCATAACCTCGTTAATACCTTTTACTGGTGATGGTACCAAGTTCATAGCTTCAACAGTTGAAGAAATATTTCATCCCTTCTGAAACTTGAGACAGGTTATGAACTCTTTGCAAAGAACAGCAGAACAATCTCCATCCCTGATTTGCTTTGGCATCCTTTCTTTGGGACATAAATGTTTCCCTGAGTTGTCAGTGCCAAAGACTCTAAAGTTTCTGGCAGCCATTGATCTCTTCTTGGCTGGTGATCTCAGCTCAGTATCCTCATTCTGTTGAATGTGTATATTTAGAAGTGACACTTTGGAATCTCCTCCACTCCATGTTTTGCTTCTTTGCTATTTGGTGCCCATGACCAAGGACACTGATCTCCTTCTCCCTGAAGTAATATCCAAAATCTCTATATGGTAGTTTTTTACTGTACAGGCAAAAGGATCAGCCAACATATTCCCTACAGATCTCTGAGGTATTAAGTCTTAATAACTGATTTGCTTAGGCTTACTTGGATCTTTCTTGTGTCTAGTGCTAAGTGGTGTACCAGAAGTATACATTCTTAGGATGGTTAGACAGTTTCAAAAGCCTTGCAACTTTTCATGACCAGCCTGTTGGAGGAGAGATGGATTTATTCTGCTTATGCTCTTTAATCATAAAGACATCTTTATTCATCTTTATTTGCTTCATCAAGCCAAGCAGTGTTCAGAACTAACATAGTTAGATCTCCATACAAATACTCATATTTAAAGATAAACTTATTTCCTCCAGGGTAATGTCACAGATCAGTTGAGAGTGCTTGTCATCTCCTGGCTAATTTGGTACATACATTCTCCCCACCCCATTATTTGACCTTAAAGTGAGGTAACTTTAGTGTTGAGATTAATTGCTCATCACTGTTGGGTTTAGTGATGTGGCAGCCATAACTTGATTTTATGTGTTCATTGTATGAGAGCTTTATTATTTTTTTGTCACTGATGTCACAGCATCCACATGCTAGTTTTATGCATTGTCCAGCATGGGTTGGCTCAATCCCATCAGTGTCCCTCTTTTTCTTCCTGAAGCGGAGTGATGTTACCTTGCAAGGTTTGTTCTGTGCTGAAACATCTCTTTCTGTCTGAGAGAAGGCATAACTAATCAGAGGATGTATTGAAGTAAACCATTTCTTTGAAAAACTGTTGTGTTTCATGGGTGAATAGTGGGCATTATATCATTTATCTTCACAAAATCATGTATTATTACATGTTTAAGATGCATAGTAATTAAAGTCTTCTTTCAATTACAGTTCATGGCCATGAAAAGGAGGATATGATAGCTTGCCCTATGAAACAGGTTTATATGTGAAATCTGGCAGGTATGTTTATTAGTGTGTATGGTGAGTATGCAAAACAACACAAAATATAGTTACTATCTATTACTTAAGTATTTTTTAGTCTCTTGGTAATTTAGTTGTGTAGCTGAAACATTACTAAAGTACATGTTTTTGTAGTTTAAATTGTAACAGTTTACATAAAGGCCTATCTGCTAACTTATCTTTAAAGATGAGCTTTAAAGATTATGAAAAGATGAAGGAATCAACCACTTTTTCTCATCTGTTGGCACCGTATCCTTGACTAGTCAGTATCGTCTGCTGCTTTGTTCTTTTTTAATTGTGGGAATTGGATCATTATTACATTGTATTTTTATTTCAGTAATAAGTTGTCTTGCTATGTTTTCAGATACTTTTTGCAATTAGTCATGTTACATATGAATACTTGCCTTTCCGTTTGAGTTGTATGTTCAAAACCAACTATGTGTCCATTGAGTTTCATGTACCTTCCTGACAGAGCTTGGAATCCAGGTTGTACTTGAATCCCGGGTATTTCCATTCTTAGCGTAGCCAGAAGGGAGAAATTTCTTGTCCATGAAATATTAAAATATCCTGTGGATGTTGATGTATTGCTAATTTGTTGCACTATTGGTAAATTTTGTTCCATTCTCATTTTAATACAGGTAGCACAACGACCTGTGGAATATGAGTGATGACAAACCCTTTTTATGTACTGCCCCTGGATGTGGCCAGGTAATGGTCTGACTTGGAAGTTATTGACATTGATCAAATAAAAGTAAAACAGTAAAACGTATTTCTAGGGATCAAAGAAAAGGGGATTTATGATAATTGTAGAAAATATTTATGTTTTGCTGGAAAGCACGTGACAGCAAGAATTTCTAGCATTTTGTGTGTTTATAAAAGAAAAAACTATTTAAATTACGCTTTCTGAGCTGAAAACAATTTCATTTGTTAGCAGTGCTTTGTTTGCTTTCATTAAAAAAAAAATCAGGAAGCATCCTAATTTGTATCAGGTAACCTGTATTTTTCGGAATATTTCAGTGTTAGTGGGGAGCTCATTGTGAAACTTGTTTGTCGCTGATCTTCACAACTATGGTGACTGCAAATATTTAGTGACACAATTTTTGTTTATGTATATTTTTGTGTATAGCAAGATGCTAGCAGTATGCATGCCACAAAATGTATTTAAATTTCTATTGTAGTTTTAATGTATTCTATTAAATAACGTTAGTAGATACAGAGCTGAATGTGAGCAGAAAAGTAAAAATAGTGTTTTAGCAGATGGTTGCGTAAAAGGAAGCTGTCTTAACACTTTAATTTAGTAACCTGAAAATAAATTATTTTGTATTATCTGCTGCATGAGATGAACATCCCTGCATCCTTTATATTGAATTAATTTCTTAAGCTGATTTTTTTCATTATATTAGTGCACTTGGATTTATATAGATGTTGAGTCCAAAATATTTTCTTTTTTATTCTGAAAACTTAGTTTTTATGATGAATGGCATCATTATTGTTATATTAGTGGAGCCTTCTGTATTTAAAGCGGTAAAGGACTAGGATTTCTTATTGTGTCTAATATATTCAGAGACATCAAAAGTAACAGAAGAGGACTGCCTCCTCCTAAGCAACATGTTTGTCCCCATCCTAGTTGAATCTCATTTCAATGTAAGCTCTGTCAGAAGTGTTTTGGCAACTAAATCTCATAGAAGATTCATCGTGGGGCTACAGCAGTCCTTGATTCCAGTGAAGGAGATGAGAGAAGTTCATGTCCCTGAAAATGGGCAAGGCTTCTCCAGATGCCAGCTCATAATATAGAATAGAGAGGAGTCAGGATCTGTAGATCCTGTTCCCTCTAAAGGAGCCTGTCCATCACATAGCGGGGACAGAAAGATGTACTTAAGTCTCTTAGTGTGATAGGACACCGAAGGTTCTGGCTCATGGTGTATCTAGAGATAAGGCACAGGAGCTGTAGAGAGCTGGGCATTTGGAACCCATGGCAACAGAGTTCTAAAAAAAAAAAAAACAAAAGTGCCTGGCCTGGATCACAGTGTCTTTCAGTGACCCTGCATGTTTAATTTCCCTCTTAGCTCCACGCATATATGTCCTTTCTCACAGAAATATTCTGGCTGACTGTACTCTGAGGTCAGCTAAGCTTTCTCCATTGTCTTCTGAGAGATGACACTTGGTGTGTATCTGTCACAGGATATATGTGGAGTGACTTAAATTATCGAAGATTAATCAGAAACATAATTTGGGAGTCAAATGTTGAGAAAGAAAAGTAAGAAATAGAGTATTTTTTAAAATGTGTTCTTTTTAGGAAACCTGCATCTCGGGGAAACATTTTCTTAGATTATCTCACTAAACACTAACTTTACCCACAATGACAGATGCATAGCAAATTTCAAGTTAGTAAAAGTAACAATTTCTATTTCACAGCACCTAGTTTGTCTGCTTACTGCTTTTTTTACAGAATGTACCCCAAATTTTGGCGGAAGTATGCACAAAACTGGCATACTTCTGAAAATTTGAAAGAATTTTAAAATGCTGATAAGCTTAGTTCATTGTCAGCTTTTCATCTGTCTGACATTATTCCAGTGTTTACCATTCTATCTGCCTCTTATTTTATATGGTAAATGGTCAGGTGCAGGACCTATATTTTATTTTTATACTATGAAATACAGTGAAGTCTGTGTTTGTGATTACAGATCAGTTCTCATTATTGTGATAATACACACAATACAGGAATCAAATAGTGGTAATCAATTACTAAACGTTGTCAAGATCCATTAGTGTAGCAAATGGCCGTTTGCTAATGGTTGTGAAGTCTGCAGCACTCTGAAATTTTATCTTGGACTTGATAAATGCAGGTACTTGTACTGCCATTTCCCTGATACCATTACTATTTAGTTACTATGAACATCATTTGAGTTTTATAATATTTCTGCTTGGTACTGTTGACCGAGGAACAAGATACCTGCCTGAGAGGGTTGTCTGTTAATGTAATAGTGATAGTTTTATGTGTTGTAAAAATTACTTTCTGTAGAATTGCATTTACTTTGTTCACACTCAGAATTACAGCTATTTCTTAAAACTTTCTGCTGCAGCGTTTTACCAATGAGGATCACTTGGCTGTCCATAAACATAAACATGAGATGACACTGAAATTTGGTCCGGCTCGTAATGATAGTGTCATTGTGGCTGGTTAGTATATACTTTTATAACTAGTTTATTCACTTTTCTGCTGGAATGGGCAGACATTTTATGTATTTTCTGTACATAACACATAGACTTATATTAAGAGGATATGAAACATTTTCTTCACTATAGTTGTCTGCAATGCGTGCTTAGATAATATTTTCATACATAATTAGCTTTTGTCAGAATTTGAAGCCAATATTGTTCTCCATAAGTATTTTTTATTTGGATCTAATATATAATTAAATATTTTTAAATTATCAGTACTTTAGCAATTTATTAAATTATGTAATGAGCATTCTGTAAGAACACACACTACTAAAGGCTATGCCTAACAGGATCTGTAACTAGATTAAACTGTTTAATTATTTGTTGATATTACTTTTCTCATAAATTTTAAAATTTATGTAGCATTTTTTACACACTGATGTTAGAAAGATGAATCGGTAATTATTATACTTTAAATGGGATAGTAGAAGAAAGATTAACATTTTTTGTTTTAATTTTAGCTTAAATTCAAAATACTTTTACTGTATTTCCACCTCTGAATTCATGGTATACCCTTCATCAGTTGTAATTAACTTTTTTATTTGTCCAGGATCAGAAGTAATCACCAATGGACTTTTTATATATATATACACACACACAATATAATATATTATATTGATATAATCAATCAATTGCATTATAAATTTTAAAGTCTTGAATGAAGAGAGTACGTGCTAACTATTCTAAAGTTATAGTCAGACTGTTTTATTCAGTGATGGAACAGCCTAAGTGAACTTCACAAAGGCTTTCAGACATTTTCAGGGTTCTTTTTCCTTAGCTAACTTGTTAGGACAAGCAGACAAAAAAAATAGTTACTCTTAAACCAGCAGTTACACATTTTAAAGTTCTAAAAGTGATCCTTGGCGATTATACTGTAAGAACGGGGACCCGTCAAATAATCAGGCATTTGAGAATGAAACCATGGCAGTGTTTGTCTCTTCGCAGCCGTGTTCCAGTGTATGAACTGTTAGTCATAAATGCCAGCTTACCTTAGTAAGGTGCACATAATGCCACACTACATATTTTTTTTTTAAACACAGGTAAGTTTGTGGGAAATGTAGTTAATTTTGACCTGATAATAATAGTGAAATAAGGGGAATTTACACAGTAGCAAAAACTTTATTTTTTTGAAACTGCTTCATGCAGTAGTCAGCCAGAAGTCTTACAATTCTAGCTTGACTGTGTGGGCATTGTAGGAGTCAATAGGATCTTGTGTACAATATCACACTTCATTTTAGAAGTTCCATGCACTTGAAAGTGATCACTACTGTTTTCACAATATGAGAAGAAAGAAGCAAACTTTCCGTGAGCTGTTCACTTTTTCTCTCTTTTTTTTTTTTTTTTTCTTCTTTAAGTAAAGCCTTCATGTAAGCCTTACTTTTATATGAAAATAGAGCTTGTTTGCTCACTGAAGTGATCTGCTATGCTAAACTGGGCATTTCAGAATAGCTCCCTCCGGTTTCTGGCCACAGACAGAAGAAAAGCTTTGGTCCCCCCCGACACTGTGTCAGGGGCTTACTGGTTTGCAAGCTTCAGTCACTTGTCTCCAGCAGGTGGAGTGTGCCTTCTGGTCGGCCTCCCTGCAAGGCAGAAAGGAGCCTGCTTGTGAGGCGTAAGAGAGTTCTTAACCGCGTCGTCTCTTTCTGTTTGCTTTTATTCTGAAAAATATTTACGGTTCATAAATGGTATTTTGAAAATCACATTGTGGGGGTTTTATACGCTTTGTTTCAGATCAGACACCAACACCAACTCGATTCTTGAAGAACTGTGAAGAAGTGGGCTTATTCAATGAATTAGCAAGTCCTTTTGAAAATGAGTTTAAAAAGGCTTCTGAAGATGACATTAAGAAAGTATGTTCAAAAACTTTTTCTTCTCGGAGCTTTTACTTTTTCGTATCAGAAATTTCATTTTAAAAAGGCGAACCTTGGATTTATGTAGGGCCATCTAAATTATACAAATAATCATTTGCCAGCTGCTTATATGTGTTGTATGGGGATCGTACAAATCTAACATTACTCCTCTGAAGACTAGTTGACCTGATTAAATTTATGTAGTTAGTGTGGACCATGGGACACATTGACTTTGTCTTAATTTTTTAACTATCTAGTGTATATCTGTAGAAGTTAATCATTAGCTTTGATTGAAATTTCATTAGGCCCTGAATAAGCAAAAAATAAGTCTGAGAAGTAAAGAGTTTTGGCAGAAAGAAAAACATTTGCACGAAACCCATTTGAAAAGAATAGTATGTGAACACCGATTATTTTGATTGGTTGGACGGGGCTCTGAGCAACCTGATCTAGTTGAAGCTGTCCCTGAGACCTTTAAGGTCCCTTCCAACCCAAACTATTCTATGATTCTGTGAAAATACTGATGTTATTCTAAGAATCAATAGTAATGATAATGAGAGTTAAATACTGACCAAAGTTAAAGAAGTGTCATTAATTTGTTTATGATTATATTCACTATGCGTTGAAATCACTTTCGCCTAGAAATTATTGACCACAACCTAAACATCTACTTTTTTTTAATCTACAGATTGAAATAATGTAATAAAAATTTGGACTGTATCTGTTTAGCAACTTCATGATTTTTAGGAACTTCCCATACATTTAATTGTGGTTTCTTCTATTTATTTTAGTACTTCCCAGTCATAACTGCTTAGGGGCCCAAACATTTAAACACTTCTGCAACTGAAAAATTTTGTTCAATGTCCCCTTTGAATGATTTTTGCCTTTGGTTGATTACCCGGTTGACTTCCATAGGCAATCATAAAAAATGTATATTTATACTCACATATATTTTGCAGAATTAGTATCTACATTTTCTTTGTTTCAGCAAAGGTTTTATTAGGCACTCATGAATAAGAATTATTATTATCCATTCCTGACAAAGCCTCACCCTTGCTTTGTTACCACAACTATACCAAACCATGATTGTTTTAATTACTTTTTTTTTAATTGGTGCATGCGAACTGTTCTTAAAACACTCCATAGGGTAATACTGATTATGGATTTACCAATACTGTATTTTCTGTGTAATTCACCACTACCTTGGAGGAAGTTATAGATATTGCAGAGTACTTAAAAGATTTTGACAATTTCTTCAATTGATATTAATTTTCTAAGCTGCCCTCTGTGTTATGAGAAGTTTCTGTATCTCTGGTTCATTAATATACCCAAGCAATCATGGCAAGGGGTGGAAAAATTTACCATAATAGCACACTTTCTAGGGGGTTGGTAGTTTAGTTTCTTTCTATAGTATTTCATAGTCAGATGTGGTATGAAAAGAGATTCCACTTTTAACAGCCTTCCCTGCCGATTAGTAATGTATTCTGTAGGAAAACTAGGAACTGAATTGAAAGAAGCATCTGCAAGAACGTAAATAGATTAGCTTTGGGGGAGGATTCTTCCGAAAGTATTTGAGTAGCAGACTAGCCTGGAGTATAGGCTTTCATATTTGTAGTATCGCTTTAAATACTTTTGTAACTTAATGTCTTTGTGGCATTTCAGATGTCCTGGTGGATTTTATCTGTGTAGTAATATGAAACTTGCTTTTTCAATAATTTTTTGCTGCTGCAAGTTTGAAATTAATTGTTCATAGAAGTTTTCTTCACTTGTAAATGTAGTGAGTATTTTGTCCTTTGTGGCATGTGATATAATAATTTATAGCCGGATAACACATTCTTTTAACTGTAATTTTTAAGTGTAGCACAGTCCTTCGTCAGCTGTAATTTTCCTGTGACTCTTGGGAAAGGGAAACTTTTAAGAGTATTTTTAATTCTCAAGAAGAAAATACTTAGTCTGATATTGGTCTTGAAAGACAAAGTGTTACTGAAGATTAGTATTTGGGCAGATGCTGGAAAAATAGCCGTGATTGGTAATGCATGTACATCAAGATCTTCCAAACATCAGCACCTCCCTGTTGTTATAAGGCTGACATTTCTCTTTAATTGCTTACATTTTCTTGCATATTTTAATTTTTTAGAGATTGAGTAATTTTGTTTTACACTGGTGCTCTTAGATGCCTCTAGATCTGTCTCCTCTTGCAACACCAATTATAAGAAATAAAATTGAAGAACCTTCCGTTGTAGAGACAACTCATCAAGATAGTCCTTTACCTCATCCAGAGTCTACTACCAATGATGAAAAGGTCAGAACTCTTTCTTTTTGGAATTACTTTCTCAAATCTTCTGATGATCTATAAGTTTATTGTACATGATGATAGCCACACTACTTAGCTGGTTGAAAGGAAAAGAATTTTTGTTTGCCATATTCCTGTGGATATATACTAAATTTGTTCAATTCTTTAGTTAGCGTTGCTCACAGCAATTATTTGTTTGCTTCACACTGGCCAACCAGTAAAGCCAGAAAGGAAATAAAATTTAATATTCATGCTATGTTAGAAAAGGCTAAAGGAGCTCTTCATTCTGTTTTATGCATCATCATTTGTATAAAAGCAAAGAAAGTTCAGGGTTTTGATTTTTTTTTTTTTCTTAAATAATGTCGAAGTTTGAGTCTCTTCATGTGTGCATTTTTGTGTTTATCCTATGGCTTACCATAAATTGTTTTGTAGAATAGCAGCGGATGTTCTACAGAAATGTACAGGGATGAATGGGCTGTCTTTCAGAGCTAAGCACAAGATAATTTGCACCAGTTTCAAATTTTATGCTCTTCCGGCTATACCAGTATGTTTAAAAGTGGTGATCTCAGGCATTTGCTTGTACTCATAGAAGACTGGAGTACTGTCTGTCACTAGAGGATGTTGTAGTCAAATCATTTTTACAGCTATTGTGCTAAAGAAGAAATACATCGTTTAATAGTAACAATAACTTCGATATGTGACTTGCGGTGTTTTTCATCATGTGGAGTTCTCTTGAACACAAGATGAAGCAAAATCAATGAAATGAATTCATTATTTCTATTCCTACTTCAATAAATAAATACATTAGGAGCAGAACTTAATAAAGCAAGATGGTTGCTCTAGTCAGTCTTTTTTCTGTGTGCATCTTCAGTGAGCAGTCTGCACTTGAGGCACTTAGCTACGTTATTCCCAAAAATCAGGAGGGCTTTTTAGCATAGCCAGGTAATTCAGGTTGGAAGGGACTGCAGGAAGATCCTGCTCCAACTTCCTCCCCAAAGCAGGGGTTAGCTCTGAGATCAGACCATGTTACTCAGGGCTTTACGCAGCCTGGTCTTGAAACATCTGAGGAGGGAGGAGGGACACCGCACAGCCTCTCAGTGCAACCTGTTCCAATGCCAGGCCGTCCTTGTGGGGAAAGTGGTTTTCTTTGTATCCAGTCTGAACGCCTCTGGTTCCAACTTGCACCCCTTCTCTTATCCTGCCTACAGGCACCAGTGTGAGAAGAGCCTTAAGTGTGTGACAGAAATTTAAGAGAGTTTCAATTCAGATTTGTCTTTACAAAGCTTCTCTGAGTTTTATTAGTTAGCAGGGATGAGGAATCGCAGATAATAAAGGCAATCATGTAGTCCAAACCAGTAAAAGAAGTTTAAAGGAATACATGTAAAGAGCTGCTTAAGTAAATCATAGTCCAAATCTTAAGTCTTCTTTATTTCAGAGGTTAGTTTGGTTTTTTTGCTGTGAATACTTATTCTAAGTACTCTAATTTTGGCGGGAGATAATATCTTTATACAGTAGTAGTTCAGTATCTCATTAGCATCATTACAAGTGAAAATTATATCTCAATGCTTGGCAGTACTTATAAACTTGTCTCATTCGTGATGTAATTTCAGTGTTGTCATTGTAACAGTGCTGAAGTGAAAAGCTGCTGCTGCTCAATGCTGTTCTGATGTCTGATTGTAGAGACAAGCTGAGCAAGGATGAGGGTGCTGCTTGGAGTGTGCTGCTGCTGAATGTGGCCTGCAGAAGTTGAGAAATGTGAGCAGAGTGTTGCTGTTTTCTCAGTTAGATTTTTATAGTCTCCTTCTATAGATGTATTGAAGGAGGGAAGGTTGATTTTTGTTTTTTTTTTTCAGGGCATAACTGGTTTTAAAATATATATGCCACTGTAACCGTTTTGGCTGAATACATTTTAGTAGCCTTAAATGATTACAGCCTGTTAATGTATGTGCAAGATAGTTCTAACCTTCCTTGTAGTAGAAAATTCCTTCAAAGGAATTTCTTAGAGAGTCTTAAAAATTATACTTAATTCTCTTCCTAATTTTCTGAGAGTTCCCTGAGCTGTATTAGACTTCTGTAAGAGTTGATACTCTGCTTTAAATAGACCAAGATAACATTAGAAGTATATAAAGCCTCTTAGCGTTGAAGTAATAAACATATTAAACCTAATTTATTCTTTGAGAACTTTCAAACTCATTATAGTTTCTTATTAACAGTACTTTAAAGGGTAACCCTCAACAATTTCACAAGCTGCTTAGTTGTCAGATAGCTAATTGCCTAACTTAATTATTTTAAACCCAATTGTTTTCTTACGTTAATAATAATTAACAGTATTAGTTCTGGCCATCTACATTCCTGTATAAATAATTCTATGTATTCATTGATAGTATTAAGGAAGTTATTGCATGATACTTGCTTTTAGATGAAAAATATTTGCAAATATGCATCTCTGAAAACGCTTCTTAAATAAAGTAACTGTCCTTTTTTGTAAAATATTTTCCAATTCAGTGGTTTTTGGTTTCAAGAATAAAAGGGTTGGAAAGGTCCTTTCAATAGTCTCTAATACCTTTGATTAGACTTAAACTTCTTTCTTGTAAAAGTAAGATCACTTTGGCTTAATCTCATGATTGCAAATTCATCTCTATTTTTCTTGTTCTTTAGCAGAATATATTTACAAACTATTTCAGACAAAATTTGTAGTTCATTAATGTGATGCTTCAGTGACCAATTAGTATCTTCTATGAGACTGGTGTGCCTATGGTTTTGTTTTTATATGCTAATAAAATGTCAGATCCGTACTACTCAAATCTGCAGCTTGTGTTACTGCCACGTTGTTGCAGTAACTAGCACATGCATGCATTTTTCAGTGTGGCACAGAGCAAGTTAGTGTAAGAAGTATAGAGGAAGTTGGAAATACTTCGTTTTCAACTGTAAAACACACTTATCAGTAAATGTATTGTTCCCTTAATGGTTGAGGATTGTTTCTCATCTTTTAAACAAAGCACAAATGCTGTCTTTAATAACACACAGAGTTAATTGTGTGCATGTGAGGTTTCTGTTATCAGAATTTTATAGTTTTATTTCAGAATTTTATACATTATCTTACGACCATTACTGAAATCTGGTTTCTGTAGAGCACTTTGTCTAAAAGTTGCAAATCACCTTTTTCCTAGTAGGAGATCAAGCCAGGGAGAGACCCAGTTTTACAGACAGTACTTATTAGAACATCCATTAATTAAGCTGTTGTTATTAATAACCAGTAAGTGTTCAGAGTGCCATAACTTACTCACTCGTGTATGGTTACCTGGTTGGCAGCAACAGTTGGGAGATCAATCCCAGCTGCTTGCTCAGAGGTGGAAGGTTGTACTGACGTGCCAGTGACTTCTAGCTAGGTGTTCAGAAAGTGTTCAAGGTCCAGCTGGACAGGGCTCTGAGCAACCTGATCTAGTGAAAGATGTCCCTGGTCATGGCAGAAGGGTTGGACTATATGATCTTTAAAAGTAATTTCTAATTCCAACCATTCTATAATTCTATGAAAGTCCTTCAAGGGGTCCATTCTTTCATCATATGAAAAGTCTTTGTTTGCATATAGCAGCCATTGTGAGTTTGGTTGTTGTCTGAACTGTACAGCATGTTCATGCTAGTGTACCTATTCAGCTGGTGTTCTGAGTTTATGCATCGTTGCAAATTCAACAGGGCTGGCTTTCTCTGGAGCTTATCTGTTCTTGGGAGATGTTCACACGCTGCCTCTCAGCACTTCGCTTCTTGGCCTTCTGTATTTCAGTAGCTATTTCTCCATCCACACACAGAGGTACTTACAGAAGCCACTGGCACAAACCCATACAGAAGGGGCTGTTACAGCATTACTGTTGTTGAGAATGTGTGAATATCTGGTTAGTTTACATTTTTGTATTAAAGCTATGTACAAGGCTCCGTCGCTGCTGTTAGCAGACTGTCCTTTTTTCCCTTTTTAATGGAAAGTAGAATTACTTTGCCATAGCTACTTATTCTCTGGTGTTCATATATCTAAATTTATATTTCTACATGTACTTTTATACATGTATGTGGTTGCCATGTATGAAGATGTTTCAGGTGAAAGGAAAAAACAAGAAAAAGAGCTCTTACATCTCTGTTGGCTGTTACGGGCAAACATGGGTGTTCCTGTATCAGATCCCTGCAATGGCAATGGACTTTCTGGTGGCTCCTTGCTCACAGTAATGAGACGGGTAATAGTGGCAAACAGCAGGCAGGAAAGGAAAGCCGAAACTCGTGAAGAATGACACAGTATTAATTTGTGAATTGACTATTGCCAAAAGATTATCAGGGCAAGTTACTCTCCCCTTATGCCTTCCTCTAATTTTCCATAGTCAAGCAGTTCAGTCTCCTTTGTTTTCCTTGTGGTTCTTCTCACTGGATAAGATCTGTATTGCTGTTACATAAAATTCATTATTTGCAAAGGAGTGTTTAAACCTGTCCTAAGAATACGCATTAGTCAGCTCTTGCCATTTTTTTTTTTTCTGTTTCTGCAATTCCATACTGGATGTTTTCTTCTTCTGACTGAATGCTCCTCTGTAATTCTAGGTACTGTGTTCAAATATTTTAACACTTATAAATACACTAGATTGGTAATAAAGAAAAAATTCTTGCTTTCCTCAGTACAGCTTACTGTTGTTCTCCAAAAACTCTCATTCACTCTAAATAGTCTTTTAGGTCCCTTGGGGAAAAGCCTGAATGATCTACTGAACTCTGATGACAAATCTAGCCTGTGAGCTTTTGTAAGGGAGAAAATTTCATCATTTAAAGTCCATCCTTTCTTAAAGTCCACAGTTTGCCAGCCCACTTAGAGATCTATGAAGCGCTCAGAGGAGCATACACGTTTTGCAATGGATGTATAAAAAGACAAACAATCTGTAAGACAGCTAAGACTGTACTGCTTAAAGCTTTGTGGATGAATTCTAAAAACTTAAGCTTAATTCAGAGCAAATGGTAATCAATGTAGCCTACATGACACAAGTATGAGATGTTCTTTCTGAATTATGGTTTAACAGGGGAGCAACTAAAGTCTGCTTGTCTTAAGTGTAGTTTTATGTGCTGTTGATTGCAGTAGCTAGTGTCAAAAGAATAAATAACTTGGAAAAATCCTGTCTGAAGGTAAATCTGAATTCTGACAATACCAAGAGTTTCCTGAGAAGGAAGGCATTGGTTACAATAAGGCATTTCTAGGTTTTCAGAAACAGCAAATGCAGGTACTACATTCTAATTGATAATGTCCTTTACCGTTCTTAGCTAAGCTAAGAACGACAGTCAATTCTGTCTACTATTTACTTGCAACTAAGGAAGTTTAACTTCTGTGCCTAAATCATTTCTTCTGCATCAGAATATGCATATAGTTTTGCAAAGCTATGAACGTAATACTCCAAGTATTTCTAACTTAGTAGCACTGTAGTTCAGAGAAGTACATGGGTAAGGGATAAAGGCTTAAAAGACAGATGGATTTTTTTTTAGGGTTTTTTTAATTATTATTTCCTTTTTACTGAGCCAGAAAAACTCTCTTGTTTAAATCCGGAACAATGGACTGAAACTGGAATGTACATAAGGACACCATAAAACGTTTTCCTTATTCAGAATGTGGGTAGACATGATGGTGCTGATAGCGTCATGGGTTTCTTGGCAAAAAAAATTTAATACCTGATCAAAACTGAATTATAAGTAATAGCAGCCTTAGCATAAATTGAGCCAGGGTTTGTCATAAAACTAAAATCGCTGTCATTGGAACAATTTCACTTTGATTTAAATGATTCATCCAAAGGGAAGGTTTTTTTAACGTTTTTAATTGTGTAACTGATTCTACTTGCATAATATTATAGAAATTCTCATTTGTTCCATCAAACTGTGTTCATTTAACAGTCAGAATTAATGGTCTATACTTGTGTTTTACAAACTGATTAATCTTTGTTTTTCCTCAGGAAGTGTCACTGCAGCAGACTGCACAGCCTACATCAACAATAGTTCGTCCAGCATCGCTACAGGTTCCTAATGTACTACTTACGAGTTCTGACTCAAGTGTTATTATTCAGCAGGCAATACCATCACCAACGTCTAGTACTGTTATTACCCAGGCTCCATCCTCTAACAGACCAATAGTGTAAGTTACAGAAATATTAGTAAAAAGTTTTTTTACAGAATTTGAAAATCTTTTGTCTTGTTCACTTTCAGTTACCGTTTCTGCACTTAACGTACAAATTTGAGATGCTTTGGTGTAATGTGGTGCTTCACTACATATGAAACATACAACTTTCACTACATGTGAAATATAATTCCATGTTCTCCGCATCACTAAGTTCATATATTTGATCTATAAATAAATATTACATTACAACAGTAAACAAATCAATATAAAATAATGTGTAAACTTGTTCTCTTCTCTGGATAAGTTTTCTTTTATATAGTTCATTCCTTTTTCAGTCCAGTTCCAGGTCCTTTTCCTCTGCTGTTACATCTTCCTAATGGACAAACCATGCCTGTTGCTATTCCTGCATCTATCACAAATTCTAATGTGCATGTCCCTGCTGCAGTTCCAGTAAGTAAGCATGATGCTATATTAATTTGAAAGTGGAGCAGATTTGCATAAGTGCAGCACAGAACTTAGTTTTAAGCAGCTTGATAGCTGTTTTGGCTTCAGAGGGTAGTGCTGTCATATGCTCTCTATTATGATAACATACTCAGGTTTTCTTCATTTTTATACTTTATCTGGTCAGCTTGTTAGACCTGTCACCATGGTGCCTAGTATCCCAGGAATCCCAGGGCCTTCCTCCCCACAGCCAGTGCAGTCTGAGGCTAAATTGGTAAGTGAAACACTCCATTATTCCTCAAGAAGAATAACTTGAGAAATTAAATTCTATTGCTTTTTAAAACAGCTTTAGTTTTGTTTTGTTAGTGTAAATTCTGCAAGTACAAATTTAGTAGAAATAGAAAAATAGCAGCTGCGTGTATTTGACAGTTATTTAAAATTCCGGCCTATGTTAGTTCTGTTGTTAATGGTCATTTTGATCTGATTTTCAACCATTCTTTTAAATGAAGTAGATTTTTAACTAAATTCCTTCTTGCTGCTTGTATTGGAGGATAGGAAATGTTAGTTGGAAGAAAGACGAGATTAGTAGCATGTTAACAGTGAACATCACCTTCACAGAAGCAGAATGTTTTCTCCCAAAAGATACGATATTTCTTAAAAAAAACTAGTAAAAGAAAAAGTTTTAACAACATTTTCAGACTCTCAACTGAATGTGGTCCATTTGGCAAGAGTTTTGTAGTTAGGTATCTATTACTGACATACTTAGGAAGTTGTTTTGTGTGTGGGTTGTTTCTGTTCTGTTGGGGCAGTTTCTGGGGTTTGGGGATTATTTGGGAAAACCATGAGTAAAACAAGTAGAAGAAGGTTTGTTTTGTTTTTATTAAAATGTTAAGTGATCCAATTATGGTGATAGTTTGAATTAATTTCTTGAAAAATTTTCTGCAGCAACATTCAGTTACTTCTCTGGATTTGCTTTCTTGTTTGTTTGTTCCAGCTGTTCTAAAGCAATAGAAAATCTATAATTAAGCAATAGTTAACCCACTTACGTATTTACAAGATGCCTCTGCAAACACTATCTGTCTTGTGAAGCAGTGTTCCTCTTCTGACTCTTACTTTGTGCTAAAAAAGGATCAGGAACACCTGCTAGATAAAATATACTTTTGTACATCAATATTGGTAAGTGGGAGGATGCCCTTAACATACCTTGATACCATGTTTCTCTCAACCTAAACCTGTGGGCTTTTCTTCCTTACCCATTTTCTCTCCTCAAATGACAATATGAAAAACGGTGAGTCTGGGAATACAAATTATTCGCAGCCCGCTGTAATGGGATTCCACTGTAGTGGGCACACTAGACCACATTCAGCAAGTATTGAAGCTATTGTGGAGAGCTGGTCACCAGTGCACTGACTTTTCCTGTCAGGTCTTCCTTCATTTTCCTCCTCTATTGAACACGATGACTACACTACAATAGTGTAGAGAGGGACAGAAAGGAAGCAAGTCTGTTTCTGTGCATCCTTGCCCCCCTAGGAACGGGAAAAGGAATCTTTTAATATCGGAGGAAATATTTAAATGTAACCAGCTCTAATGAAATAAATGTAAGAAAATGAAAACAAGAACTGTTTCCTTAGAATTTGCATATTCCTTACAGTCAGGAGGCTCATGCACGGAATTCTGCTTTGTGAAATCCAGGAGGAATTGGTTCAAAATAAATTTTAGATAGGGAAAAAATTAAGTTTCTAAGAATATGACTGAGTGATTTGCTCTCACGAAGCTTTAAAGGGGGGAAGGAAACATATATGTGGTGAAGACTTTGATCTCACATTGGAAGCAGCAGTCATTCAGATGCAAAGAAGAACAAAGATCATTAGACTTAAAATTTAACAGTCTCATTAGTCTTCTCGTTAAAATTTAGCTAATATATGCACTTCAGTGATTGCTTATCTTTTTTTTAAGTGCGACTGTAAAAAGGGTATTTGCAGTATTTCTTCTTTCCTTTCTTGTTGCTTAATACAAAGCATGAGCAGAATTCAAGAATATCGGAATTATGTGTATTTCTTATGCTCATTTACTTTTATATAGTACCTATTCACAAAAATAAAACCCTTAATTTCTTATCACTACTAAAGTAAAAGCAATTTAATGAGAAACTTAATGTTTATGTAGAAAAGCTTCCAAAGGGAACACTAACTTGCTATGTCATGTGATGCATTCTTGGCAGATATGTGATGGTTTATTAACTGCAAAGTTCCACTTAATTTTAAAAATTTAAGTCTTTGTGATGCCAAGTCCTTTCTTTTTCATGTATCTCTTGAAAATAATTTTGCTTGCTACACACTAAATTCTGCAAAGATACGGTAATCAGGTTTATTTTTCACTTGTGTTCATGGTTAAGCCAACAGAAGACTTAGCATTTCATTTTACATCTACTTGCTTGCTTTTTATTTCATTAATCTTTCACATTTAAAGTTGAAATATAAGCTATTACACTGAAATTTAATAAGTGAACAGTGTATGTTTCTTCACAGTATATGTTTCATCTATAAGCAGTGTACCACAATTTGCGGATTTATTGGTATGTTGAGGTTAGCAGAACACTGGGAACACTTCCTGTGTCCTTTTGCCTACTATAGCCACGTTTCTGCTTCCTGCTGGGGTGAAGTCGTACCAGCCCAGTATTCTTCCTGTCTTTTGGACAGAAAGCTGGATGAAGGGGCAAAGCTGTGATGTTCCCTTCTCAACAATCAAGAACCAGGAGTCAGGATTTTTATAGATCTGCGGGATTTTCTTGGCTGTAGCTTTATTTTGTTATTTAGAGAAATTTTTTGTTGTTTATAGGCAGACCTTGCAGTCTTACGGATTTTTTCGTATTGCGTTATAAAATGTAGAAATAGAATATGTAGCAAATACAAAAAGAATGCTCGAATAGTTTCCCAACATTGCAACTATTCCTCAGATATTAAAGTAAGTCTGGTAGCATATGGGATGCAACATTTGGAAAGTTAACGTGTTTTTTCGTATCTCCAAAGGGTTTTGTCATATATGCTTTTGGCCATTGTTGTTTGAATCTTTCTTTTATTCAAAGACCATACTTTCCTAGTATTGTATTCTGCATTTTCTACTATCGTACGTATGACAATACTGTTTCAGGGTATTCTTAACTGACACAGATCTACCTACTTCAGAGGTTGAGTAAAATTCTTGAAGAACTGTTTGCAGTAACTTTGTCACTTCAAGATTCAGTGTCCCCAGATTGCTGAATTGTTATCAGATACAGACCTGTCTTGTGTAGAAGGCACAACTCCTTATGTTTTGGATGAAATACCTGGTACAAACCAAGGCAGGAACCAGAAACTTCCCTTTGTGCTTTGTGCCTTTCTTTACAGAGGCTATTTCTGCAGATCGTTTCTTGCATGACATTTCAAGGAACTAATACATTTTAGAGTTTTGTAATAAGAAAAGCACTTTGTGCTCTGATTTCATTCCTCATCTCAATCATTCATTTCTTTTACCTGTTTACAAAAGGCTACTGTTGTGTAGATTTCCTGTTTTTTTTTTTTTTAAGTGAAGGTGAGAACTAATTTGATAAAAATCAGATTAGAGATTGTAGTGCCATTATTTCCTAATGCTATGGAGTTTAATTATTTAAATATGGATTTAGGGAATATAATTTCTTTATTTCTATTAATGTGAAAACAACACACCTTTCTTGTATTTTGATGAATACCTATTGTTTCCTTATGAGTTGCATATACCACATTGTACATAGAGCATCATATATTTCTTAATATAAAATCATGAAGGAGCTTTAGTAAACAAACTGACATTTTGATTGCTAAAGCTTAAAATAACTGGCAAAAGACATCTTTGGTAACGTGTTATAGGAAGGCATCCTGTGCCCAATTAAAATTTTTTCTTCAGCTATCCTAGAATTCTTAAAAACCTTAAAGGGAACTAATATACTTGCTGGGTATTTTTTTTTTGTTCCCACTATGGACAGCTTTTGGAGACTTTTTCAGTTTGTAAATGGGCTTTCTTAGGACATTTGAAAGTGTTTTTAGATTAGAGTGTCCAAGCTTAATGCATGATAATCAGAAATGTGTATTTATTTCTGTATTTCATAAAGTTTTCGGTCTGAAGTGTCAAACCCCGTCAGTGTGGCAGTTTTGATTATTCATATGAAGCGAGTTACTGAGATGTCACTTCTAGAACTCTGTTCGTTCTTTGCTGAAATGCTCTTTTCTCTGGTTACCATTAAAGTTACCTGATACTAAATGATCACATGAATTCCATAGAGAGACAGTTGCACATGAACCTGAAAACAGGTTCACTGTGTGAAAAAGCAGATAGAAAAATGTATACCAACTGCAAGGAAAAATGACGAGGCGGGGGGGAAGTCATAAACAAAAAAAAAAGTCATGAGAGACAAAAAGTTAAAAGTTGGCTATGCAATGAGCCGTATGACTGGTGACATTACTGCAAGAGGGTCTCAACTGAAACAGCTGAAATTTAGTGGAACAGTGTGTTAAGCACAATCTTACGTTGCTGCTTCAGCACTGAAACACATATAGCACTGTA